AAAGAGCAAAGAGGACAAAAGTCAGATGTAGCCTGGTCTGAGGCTCTATCTAGTACTATAAACCCTTCTGCTCCAAAGGCAAAAGGCTAATTGAGCTGCTCCAGGCAACAGCAGTGCTTATCAGAGCTGATTTATTTTGTGTCTATTATTGCCAACATCACCTCAGCTGCCAGGGAAAGTGCTAGAAATCCTTTTGTCTCTGTGAAAGGACATCTTGTCTTATGCAAAGGTAGCACTTGCTGAGGCTCTCACGTATCAGAGCCTCCATCCCCTCTGGAGGGGTTGTCAAAAATTTGTTTGGATTGGATGAGCATCTTGAATTTAGGACTATTAACCCTTGAGGAGAGAAATTGGCAGTGTGCCTTATTATGCAGTTCTCAAGCAAACACGGTCACTCCCCCTCAACTGCTCTTTCCCTCTCCTGATGTCCCTGTCAGGAATATATCCTGTACCAGTCTATTATGTTCCATGCAGAGTTCCAAAGTGCAAACAAAAGTGCTGAGTTCAAAAAGGAATCTGTAGTAAGGCCTGAATGGGGATTGCAATTGAATTTGTTAAACTAATCTCATTGAAGAAAACATCTTCCCAATTGTCTAGGAAAGGTCTATATGGCTCTAACTTGTCTAGGAAATACAGTTGACTCCTGGCTGTCGTGTGAATTCATATAGACTGGACAGCCTCCCTATATACCAGAGCCATTTTAGGCCAACAGAGGCTGTTTCACATCACTGATGGTTTCTATATCAATTTAGTTAAGTAGATGCAAGAAGTTTCAGGAATAGTCTTTCTCCTTTAAAAAAACGTAAAATATGCCATTTTGAATTATTCAAATGAGACAGATAATATCAGTTAAATTAAAACAACCCACAGGTTTATGCCTGAATAATCTCATGTTAGATCAAAGAATACTTAAATCTACAACTAGCTTTTCCTAACATCTCAGTAATGTCAAGCTGATTACATAATTCTTGACCCTCCTTGCCTTCCCTACTAAATGTAGACTTCATTAGAAGAACTAAATGAGAAAATATTATTCCTGTTAATTACATTATTCTGCAAATGAAAGGAAAATACAAATTCATACAAGGAAAAGAATTCTCCTAACAAAATCAGAACATAAACAAGTAATTCACAAGAAAAATATTTTATCCATTGCACCTGTTTTTCTGTGTGTTTAATGATTCAAGTACAGTTTACCAGAATGAGTAAAAAGAAAGTAAAATCTAAATTGCTAAATCTGTAAATTGAATGTGTATCCTAAGCTACTCCTTACCACTGTCAGCTCTCATGATTTAGAATGGACTTGGAAGTAGTTGTTTTAATTTATCAAATCAAATAATCCCTTACATCAATTTTGCAGTTCATACAGAAATCATCTTCAGGAAGCCAGTCCTTAAGCTGAAAACTAGGAAGGAGGAGTCTGGAAAAGGTTCCTGCACCTGCTATGGCCAACTGGTGATGGCTCAGCCCTGGAGATGAGAACAGGAGTGTGTGCTGGGAGGGATGGCCAGTGGCAGCAGTCCAAAGGGAAGTGTCACTGCTGCATTGCTTTTGAGATGACCACAACAGTGGGATTTGGCTCATAAAGGTTGGTTTGCTTTCATCCAGTTCAGAGATATGAGAGGTGCATAGGAATAAGCTGTAGATAAGCTATAAAAGTACTCCAAAGGAGGTCGATTTATTCTAGAGGGGAAAATTCATCTTGTGAAATCCTAATTAAAGTTCTTGGTTTATTTGCAATTTTGCCTTAGGGTTTTGGCTGTTGAGAAGAATGAGCTATATAATCTGTTAGTTCTCTGACACTCAAAAACTAGCAGTCCTTAGAAATCTGACTTTTTGAAGCAGTGATGCTAAGGAGACAGACACATTACTAACCTGGAGCACCACTTGCCTAGCAAGCAGGAGGTATATTATGGGGATAAAGCATGTAGTACTGGCTAACATACCTAACTGCAGATTAAAGGTCGCTGTCAGGAAAGCACTTTGGTTCACCCTCAGCTCCCAGCATGGATGGCAGCTGCTCAGTGTATGTGAGGGGAAGTCAGATATTGTGTGTGTTGTTAGTGAGGTGCTCTGATTCCGACACTGAATCTTACCAAGGTCAGAAGAGATGACCAGCAAGCAGCTTTACCTGTCCCCTGCCACTACAGGTGGAGAACACAGGGACAGTGTGGTTGTGCTGTTGCTGCACTCCAGACGGACCTGAGAGGTTTCATGCTGGCTTTACATGACTTGTTTCCAACACACTCCACAAAAGCTGATGCCTGCAGGCGTGTGTGGTACTGGAAACAGACAGAGGCAAGGATGTAATTTCCCAGAGCTGCCTGCAGACATTACCCTTATTTTTGATCCACGAGACAGCTGTAACCAATGTAATAGGCCCTTGAGTAGGAGAAAAGCTGCTTACCATCATTAAAGCAGTGGAGGACATAGATTCAAAGGAGTCTCCACAAAAAAGACAGTGTTAAAATAAAGCTTAGAGCTCTGCCTATGCCCTTGTATAGCAGAATCTCAGGATCTGGAAAGAGGACAAGGGAGAGCAAAAGCACCTGGGGTCAGCAGAGCATGGTGGGGAATATCTCACTCAAGGCATCTTGCTGAGGCAGCGAGTGACCCCATGCCCAGTCAGAATTTTTGCTGGTAGCTGGGTACCTCTGCTTACTGCAAACCCATTTTAAGAGCGTGTCTGGACTGGTGCCAGAGCATTCAGCACCTCACAGAACTGCACTCTCTCTGCATTAAAAGTATCATTCAGCTTTTTTGTAGTTGCTGGAAGCATCAATGGGAAATCCAGGACACAGGTTAATGGGGAAGACATGGTTGTAAGACAGGCCTGTCAACAAAGCCTTTCTAGGAGATCAGACCCCAGTGGAGATGCAGGTGAGCCATCTGGGCAGCCCCTTCTGCCCATACAACAAGCAGAGTGCTGCAAGGCCCCAGAGCTGGATGGCAGCACCAGCTCCCTGCTCACAGCCCTGATGGGGCTCACACACACTGCTGCGGGAGGAGAGGAACTGATGAGCTGCGGTGGCTTTCCACAGCCTTCCAAGGGAAGAGGCGACTGGGGCTACAGACAAATATTCATTGATGATTAAAAATCTTCATTAAACTTAATTAAACCTACTGAACTCATGAGACTATGATAATGTAAAGAAGCAGCAAAAAAGCTGCCTTTTTCAAAGCTTTGCTTTTACCACCTTGTTCATACTCATGGTTTGAACTGTGAGCACTTTGAAGGAGTCAGTAAAATACAGACAGTTAATAGTCACAGTGAATATCTCCTGTTTAGATCAATGCTCAGCTTCTCCAGTCATCTGTCAGGATTACTCTGATCCCACAAATCCCCATGGTTTTGCTGCAGGGCAGCAGCCCTGTGGATGAAGGGCTGAATGATCTGTACCTTTTTTTGTTCAGGGCTACCACACAGATTTAACATGCTTGGTGAGTTTGACACGTGATACTTCCACTGCCCTGTGCTGGAAACAGCAGTGGAGTTCACCTGCTCAGCTGCAGCTCTAAGGAGAAGTGTGTCAGCCTCCCAGCCAGCCTGAAAACTGCCTGTTTCCTTTTTCTGCCCAATTTGGAACTGACCATCCGCGCTCTTGTGTAAACACTGAAATCTGGGTCAATCAACCTGATGTATGACAAGAGAGCATAACATCTGCCCAGAGCTGTAACTGATCTGCACAACTGTCTGCAGGGAACTTGTCTCTCTGCCTCCCACCCTGCCCCACCACCATTTCAGCCCTTTGGCCCTGGGTCACCCATCATCTCCTTGCACAACACAGAGGACACCCACTCGCTTGCCAACCACACATGAAATAGTAGGAAATCATGCAGCTTAGTAAAATTGTAGGGGGAAAAAAAGTCTTTGAGAAGGACACAATGTCAAACCTTTGCCACAGTCACAGAGGACTCAATCTGATTTCAGCAAAGACATTGTTTTTTCATCATACTTTATATGTAAAAATATAGATTTTGAGTTACTGCATATACAGAGATGAAAGAGGGAAAGAGCTTTATGAAGGGACACTACCCTGCTTGATAGCAGAAGCTATTTTTAAATTTACACAGATAAATGTAAAATAAAAGACCCAAACTTCTGTTCATCTTCCTCTCCTCAATATTTATTATCCTCTACCTAGAAAAATAATTTCCATTTTCCATTTCCCTGAATCTGAGTTAATGTCTCCAGCTTTTTTATAATTCCACATACGTTGTACGCAATACAGAGACACTGCTTCCTGAACTAATCTGTTTGTCAGATAGCTTGTCTTCAAACAATTAGCTACATCAGGATTTCTCCGTAGCAAATCAATATCTTTGGCTCAGCCAGATATAAGCTTTAGCATGTTGACACGGCTCTCAAAATAAATCACAAAAAATGGCAAGTGGCTGTTACAGTAAGCTGCTTGAAAATAAATTACGGTTGCTATACCATGTAGCCCTTTGATTTTGATTTAGTTTATCCTTTATCTGTTCAGTATATTTCCCCCAAAACAGAATGAGACAGACATGCTCCATTTACTAGTCTTTGGTAAGCTGTAATTACTTGAAAAACTCCTTTGAAGTTGCTACTTATCAATGTGAGGAAGATTGGAAAAGTCCAGCCCAGCCTCAAGGTATATAAGCTTAAAAAAAAAAAGGGGGGGTACATATAATAGAAAAAGAAAAAGCTAATAGAACTGAATGCTCATTACAATACATGCTCCATGCAACCCATATTGCATAACAAGTCCAGGTCAGTTTTACCAGACTCATAAACTTTGACTGTGATACATGCAAGAAAAAAAGCATAATACAGACAAGGACCAAGTCTAGGTACAATCTGTGTTTTCTGAATTTAGAGTGCGTAAAGTCTTTTATATTTCATGGGTTTGTCCAAATACTGCATTTCCTCTTTTAAGAAAAAACTCTAGGGTCAAGTTTAATAAGGCTCCAGAAACTGTGTGCCACTGAAAAAAAAAAAATAAAATTTCCCTGATTTCACAATTATCTTTGAAGAGAAGTCACTCACCCCTAAGATGAAGCAGAAGCCCTGATGATGGTGGCAGATTTGTTTACCACATGTGATGCCAAGCATACAGTGAGCAGCAAAGGTTAAGACAATTGGTTATAATTAATCCAGTTATCACAGGTTAAAAAGTTACTGCTGATTTGTATGTCCTCATGCCTGACAACTTTCATTTTTTGACTGAGGCAACTGCAAAGGTAGCATATTAACTTTTACCTGTTTTCATTACATTAAACATTTATAAACAAATACAAACACATTTCCCAAGTAATCTCATGACTATGTTTTGAATAAAATTATTACGATGCCCCTCATTTAATGTTTTCAAGCAATTATTTGCAAATACGTTATCAGCTGAAAGCCACAAACATTTACCCAGTGCTGCTAGGTGTTCTGGCGGCAAATTCAATCCTTTTGTGCCAAGCAGTCCAAGAAAAATCATGACATTTTTCCTGTAGTGATTTTATGTAAAGATTTTATGAGGCTATGAAAGGAATAGCAGGAAGTCTGGACATTTTTCTCCTTAGCCATAAGCTGTTTCTGTGCACACTTCAGAAGAGCTGAGTTATCAGCATGACTGGGTGTTGCATAGGGATCAGCCTCTGCCTCTGCAGAGTCAGCTGGATGCACTGGAAGTGTCTCTAAACATGCATGAGAAATTGCTGTGTATGGACCAGAGAGTAAAACTGAGGCTGAGCTTGCATTAAAACCATTCACAGTAATGACAAGCTGTTTGCTTTTCCCGACCGAGCTATCCCTGCTGCATGGCCCATAAAGAGAGGAGACGCAGTTCAAGGACTGACAAAACATACCTTTTTTTAAAACATTTAATCTCTTTTTATTTGTTTGTCCTGATGGTTTGCTACAGGCAAAGGAGGTATTCAGAAATGGAACTGCACGATACAAACACAGGCAGCAAACTAAGCTGGCGGCATGAAAGGTGTATCTGAGAACACAGAGTTGACAGAGTCAGAGTCGGATTTTGTTCGAGTAGTTTTTAAAATGCTCTCTGTAATGACACTGTCATTGGGGAACAGTTTTACTTTCCCATTCTGACTCTGTTTTGGTTCGTGCACTGGTTCCAGGAAAACCACCCGTTTACCAGTGCTGGCCTTTTTCTCGTCGGCTGGCAGCTCCTGCGGCAGTGCGGAATTCAGTATGGACGGGTGGGCACTGCTTTGGTTCAGCTTCCTCTTCCTCTTTTTTGCCTTACATTGACACGGGCAGGGGGTCAGGTAGAGATACAGCAGCACTAAAATAATACTGGCCACACAGGCAGCAAGGGTGGTAAAAGCTGTATTAAATGCTTCATGAGCGTGGGACCTGTTCGCTGTGAAATTGCTAACATTTATTCTGACCTCTACGGTTTCATTTAATAGTCTTTTCTTATTTATTGCAATGCAGGAATACAGCCCTGAGTTCTCTAGCTGGGCATCTGTTATCTCCAGGCTGCCATTAGGAAACACCTTGAAGTTATCGGTGTCCCTGTCTGGCTCCAGCAATCTATTGTCTGGACTAACCCATACAAACTGTGTGCCCATATCGCTGATTCTGCTGTCACAGTGTACAACCAGCCTGTCACCAACCTGGGCATCATGAATAAACCCAAAGGCTTGGAAAGAGCTGTTGACGGTACTTTCAGAGCAATTCATACTGCTGTCGTGCAGTAAAGGCAGTGTATTATGATCTCTTGGGTCTGACTGCAACAAACAGCTGTACTCATTTTTGAAGTCCACGACTGAGCTGAAATGCCTTTGATACCAGAAGACTAGCATGGAGTACAGGACACAGTCACAATAGAATGGGTTGCCATGAAGATAAATTCCACTAAGTTGTTTGGCTGGCACTGAACTCAGGCGCTGAACAGGCATCGTCTGGATGTGATTAAAGGAAATGTCCAGCAACACAAGGTCTGTCAGTTTATGTTTTCCAACATATAAGTCCAGTGGGAAATGCGAGACCAAGTTGTAGCTTAGGTACAGTTTCTGTAATTTGTACAATCCTCCAAAGGCTAAGGACTCGATCTGTGTTATTTGATTGTTGTACAGCAGGAGAACCTCCAACTCCTTTAGCTCCTGAAACACAGGGCTGCCCAGCGTTTTCAGGCTGTTGGATGACAAGTCCAGATACTTCAGATTTGGAGTTGTGGAAAAGCTTCCAGTGCTAATGCTGCTAATGCTATTATGATTGACTATTAAAGTGTTCAGTTTCTCAGACAGCACTGGGACCCATTCAGGCTCCAAAATCCCAATTCTGTTATAACTCAGATCCAGCCTTTTCATACATTTATAAAGATTTCCTGGCACTCGAGTGAGGTTCTTATTAGTGCAGCTGATGATATCACTGGCACAGATGCAGGCTGCTGGACACATCCCTGGGGCACTGCCACAAACACTCACGGTGAACACCAAGAGGCATGCGAGTCCTCTGCAGCTCGCTCTAACAACTCCAAGTCGAGTAGGAAGTGTCCACCAGTTTAAAGACATTGTCACTGTCTTTCAGATGTCTCCCAGTGCTCCTTGCCACAGATGACTTGTGCACTTAGCTTTGCACTTGTTGCTGTCAAAAGAGGGATACACAGGTACAGCACGTTAACATTTATCATTCATACCCTGCATGACTTCTTATGCCTTTTGAAAAATACAGGGAATTAATCCTTAGGGTTTCATACAATTAATGGTATAATCTAGTTCTAAGGTGATGTAAACTTATCATTGTTTTATGTAAACATGAAATTCTGCATTCATGTGTCAATGTATACACTTTAGATACAGTATTTTTTGTCTTCAAAAAGAATGCAACTATTCTTCAGTCTTCGACAAAGTAATGCAATTTCTGACAGTTCATTTTAAAAAAATTGGAAATGTTCCTCTGTGGAGCATGACTTGGCAACGTCAACCCCTACCTGTTTCCAAACCAACAGAGATAGAATTCCCAGCAGAAGAAAGAAAAAGCCTCATCCTAAAATGTTTTTTTTTCTTGTCAAGTGGGAAGCAGTTATAACATGCTTTTCTTTATAATCAGAAAATGTCACACATTTTCAAGCAAAGAATTTTCTCAGCCTTTCTAGCTTTAAATGTCATATGAATTTCTTTCCTTTCTTTTCTTTTAATTTAGTAACCTGTGGTTCAGGTAGCAACAGCCTATTTTGAAAGTTATTAAAGTTGTTCAATAACAATATTTTGTATTCTGCTTCTTTTACCTTTGCCAGTATAAGTAATGAGGAAGAAATCTATGAAGTCCTTACCTCAGGCACACATTTTGGGACCATTCAGTAAGGATGAGTCAGCTCTTTCTCAAAACATAGTAAAGAAAAAATTATTTTGCTCGTATGCAGATAGAAAAACCCCAACCATACTATTTTCAGAGTATTTCAGAGAATATTTTAGAGTCAGTATTGTTTGAAACAGGGATGTAAGATTTGGCACAGTAGAGATTCTGTGCTAAGGGATATGCTTTTTACCATCTTCTGAGAAAATGTAGACATACATAGCAGAGGAATAAACATTCCTGTTGATTCTTGCTCTCCCTGGTACCTGTTTAGAGTTTTTCAGTAAATTCACAGGTGATCTCATCTGCATTGATTATTGTCACCCCTTCAAACTTCATATGTGGTATTCAGCCCCCACATTATTATCCTCAAACTCATTTCTCCAGTCTCACCCACATGTTGGAGCAGCATCTGAGCAGGGCAAACCCTGCAATGTCTGCTCTGCACTGCTGATAGTGGTTATGGCCAGGAGCCTGTGGACAGTGGGATGAGGAAAAAAAAGCAGCCTCAGATGGAAAGGAGGAAAATAAAAGAAGAATATTCTCTGATGATGCAAGATGGATGAAGAAAAGATGAGTCTTGAGGGCAAAAAAATTTAAATCAAGACCTACGTGGTGGAGGGCAGCAGGGCAGAGGGGTAGTGGAAGAGAGAGAGAAGGGTAAGAGACACATAGGGAAGGAAAAGCAAAACCAGGGGAGGTGGATGCTAATGGAGCATCATCACTGTCACTAAAGAAACTGAGGAGGAGGTAGTCTGGGGATGCAGAAGTCAGTTAAGGCATATGAGACTGGAAAAGCAGATGAGAAGTGTGTAAAGGGAAAGAAGAGGTCTAAGCAGAAGACAAACAAGAGTTTCAGGAGGTAAAACTTAGAGCACATCTCTCCAGGGAATTTACATCTGTTACTTAAGAACCTAAGACTACTGATGCAATTAATTAATATATGCAAAAAGCAAAAAATTTCACTCCTCCTCAGTTCTTTATTCCCCTCTTCTGTAACCCTCTGCCAATCTGTCAGGCTGCTGTCTTCAGCTGACAAATCTACTCCTAAGTCAAGTGGCAGAAGTTGTGCTATGAAACTAAAGAGCTGAATTATCTAATGACCCACTAAAAGAAGAAATATGAAGGCAGCATGGGAGAATGGGACATTTCACTTCTCACAAGAACTTATATATGCATTGGCTTTGTTTGCATTCCAAAAAAAAAAAAAAAAAAAGGAAAAAACATTAAGAGAATTGCAAGACTGCCAAGTCAACCATTCAAAACTGAAGTGTCGGAATTACATTTTTCTTTCTATTTTAGATTTTATATACAGTCCTTGGTTACAGGATTGTTCAATGTTCCCCCAAACCTTTCCTGACACTGCGGAGGAAGAACAGGGAAAAGAATGGGTGATTACATCAAGAGCTGGATAAATCCTTATCCCTGAGAACTGCAGCTGCCCTAGCCTTTGCCACAAAATTCCTGTGAGATCAGGCAAACTATGTGAACTGGTGACTATTACAAAATAATGAACATATTATAGCCACCAGCTTGGCACTTATAAAATAAGGAACCTCTGCATGTTAAATTTGGGAAGGACTGATCTGAGAAATGCTGAGATGAGAGTCAAAATGCTGTGACACTGTCTGGCACTTCTGATTGCACAGGGATACCTTGTTTATACAAGGGATATACTAACATGGTTTAAGCTATAGAAATATTGTAAAAATAAATTGATTGGTTTGAATTAAAGTTTAATACCAGGATTCATTAACTCTTCTAGACTGTTAAAGTCTCCTGAAGCTTCTACCTGCATGGGGTTTTCAATGGAAAGTTAGGAATCCAGAGCAGTATTTTTTAATCAGTCCTAAGCTCCTTACTTGTTTTTGCTAGTTAGGTAGTCTACAGCAACAATTAATAGATACAAGTTCTTCAAGAGGGTGAAGCATTAGAGAAACTGCCATCAAAAATAATTACATACCACAGTGTGAATTTGTATGGTATACAGACATAAGGCACAATGCAAAAACTCTGGCAGATGAAAAAGGTATTTAGTAATTGCTCATTTAGTTAGTCTACTGCATAAAACAAGGAATCTGAAATCTACATTACCATAAAAGCACGCACCTGAAGACTGGATTATAAAGCATCCACAAAACAGGAGATGAACAGCTGCTTCAAAGTTTGCCTTTCCCACTAACGTGTGAATGCCTGATTCTGCAAGCTATGCAGCCTAATTTTTAATGTAACTGCACTTGCAACAAGTGAATGGCACTTAAAAAATCATTTCCCATGCTGAAAATAACTGTGGTCCTGGAGATACTCTGAATGGGATGTACTGGATCAATGCTCAGGTTTGTAAGGGTTACCAAATTTAATACACTAGGTAACCTTGCATGTTTGCTTCTGTCCATGCCTAGAATTATCTCATCAGAAACTCCAAGCTAGTCTGCAACCAAATCCCATGGGAAGACACAGATCAGTCACTGGTGTATATGAGCATAATACCTTTCCGTTCTAAGGAGCAAAAACAGTTTGCAAGGGCTAAAAACTGGATTGTCCATTTTCAAAGCTCACTGGAGTGGCAAAATGAAAACTATTCCAGATGACTTGTCTGTGTGGGCAAATCCAAATTACAGAAATCCTAAACATACCACAGAACACACAAGAATATTTAGAGAGTACTCTGATGAGCAAATCCTTTCCATGCCCAACACACAGTATAGTGCCTACATTCCCAACAGGTTCTTTGCTCTTTTGGAGAGAAGGACTTTGAGCTGCAGCCTGCTCTTCAACCTGTGTTCCCCATATCTACTGCACAAACTACCCAGGATGTTCTGCAAAGCCAAGCATGTTCAACATAAATATTTATAGGGTATGTGGTCATTTGAACTTACTCAAAACGCCTGCATAAACATTTCTGGGTTGTAATGTGTTAAGTGGCAAGAAGAACAAAGCCAGCAACAAGCCCTATATTAAAAAATCTGGCATTTTGTTTCATCCCAGGAGCACTACTTCAGGTCTTAGAGAAGACTTTATTTTACAAATTTCAATATTGCGTATTTTCTCAAGAGAGATATTGTTATTGAATACTATTAGCTAATGTGTGCCAACAGACTTTGGCCAAGCACCTCACCAATATTTCTGAATGAGCTGGGTAGATACCTTTCCTGATTTATAGTAAAGTGAAGGACATGGTTGGGAGTTTTGTTCTTGAATTCTGTTCAAAGAAATAATTCTTTTGTGATGTTAAAATGCAATATTTTACGTTCAGTGCCAAAACCACATTACTCCCTGAGATTATTTATCTGAACAGTAATGGTGCACATGCTTCTCAACTGTTCAAGAAGAAAGGTGGGACATATCCTGCTATCATAGGGAAAATCCTCGGTGGTCAGAAACAGCAAAATTGACTACAACCAATCACATTCAAGAGAAGCTAAGGATTCAGTTCTTGTTTTGAACTTTTTATGTGTTTGTTCCTGTTTTTTGTTTATTTCTGAGGGGGTTGTTTGTCGTTTTGTTTTTAAAAGTAATGAGCACTCAGACCTAGGAAAAGGGTACTGCTGGGCAACATAGTCTCAACATCAGTTATCACCTGAAGGTCAACTAATGTCCTAAACACTCCTTTCTCCTTCTTCTGGGCTCTCTCTCTCACTAATGTGACATTAGTAATATCTACAGCAGTTTTCTTATCCTCTGTAAGTACTTTCAGGCTTATTGCTGTTTCTCCAGTGGAATCTGTATACCAAACTACCTCTCCCAGTTCATTTGAGACCTTGCTAAAAAATCCTTATGTAGCACATCTCTTAATTTAAGAGTGAATTGGACTGGAATTCACAATTCACTGGAATGATATTTTGCAAACACTACTATTAGTCCTTTCACTGCTAAAAAAAAAATTGGATTGGTAGATGTTATTCTTACTGTGAAGCATTTTCCAGTACATTGGTGATGCAAACAGTCCACATCTGGCTGGTACTTTCTGCACAGTAAAAATGCAAGTATTTGCACACAATCCTGCTGCCTGCTGTACTACTGCAGGAATAGTGTTCGGCCTCTAGAGAGATCAAGCACTTGAAAACATTAAAGACCTCTGTTGATCCTCCAGAAGGTTCACACCATTTCTACATGCCCTACCTCCTTCCCTTGCACCACATCTCCTGTGATTGTCTCCTCTTGAGTCTTGCTCCAGTCTCAGCAGCCCAGAAGACAATAATACATCTCTGCACCTCTCACTGACTTCTGATGTCCACACAGGTGCTCTCCCCTATATCAGTTTACATATCAGATGAATTAGGGCTGTTCTAGTCAAACATAAAAATACATGAAATAAATGTAAAAAAAATGATGGCTTGGGTGTTTGTTTTCTCACAGCTCTATTTTTTTTTCTGGCATGACATTTGACAAAGGTTCCTCATGAACTCAGAAGCCAAAGTGATTTTTAGAATGGGGTTTTATTAAATGATAACAACAACATTATACAAGTATAATTATTCATGCTTTTAGTCCCAACTTCATGAATCCTGTCCAAGTACATGATAAAGCCATTAATTACATACAGACTAATGGCACCCTATGCAATTAGTATTTTTAAAAGTTAAATTTTTAAGGAAGATCTGCATAAACTCGCATTTCTTGTGTGTGTGTGATACTGTCAGAGGAAATATTCAGCCACCTCGCCTCAGTCTCCAGGCTCTACTCTGCCTTTATCACTCCTGAGTGGAAAAGGCACTCTGCATCAAATCTTCCTGACAGCTGTGCTCAGCATCTCTGACTCAACAGATACAGATTACCCAAACATCGTAATCCATGAGATTTAGTGACATGATGGATTGAACAGCAAAGACTGTTGGTGAGCTGCATCTGGGAGGCGTCTTGATACACTGGACTAAATCCCTGAGCCGGGCTACACTGTGCTTGCTGCAGGACCTAACAGTGATGAAAAAAACAGCTTTACATCATATTTGCAGCAAGCTGATCCTGAGATCAGCAAGGCAAATGGAGTGCTCCCTCCAGCCAGCATCTGGCCAGACCTCAATCGTGCTGAATTAGAGATTAATTTGTCCAAGTAACCTTAGCCAGATAAAATGATCATCTCCCACTAATCCCTCACTAAAGATTGAATTTCCTTGAAGAGATATTTTTTCTTAAAACACGGTAACTCGATTGTCTTAAAGAAAACTGAGACACAGAAGAACAACTGGGTGATGCACAACAGAGCCTCAGTTGGACTAATCAACAGTCTCTTTACAGCAGTACCAGCTATGTAAGTCAACATCTCTGCACCTCTTATCCCTCTGAGAGGGTACAAGGGAAATACACATCAGTGAAACAACAAATTCATCCCTTTTGCCATGCTACTTTGTAAATCAAGCTGCAACCAAGCTTCAACCTTGCAAATTACTTCAGTTGCTAAGGAGATCAGCAAATAATTAAGAAAAAATGCAATGATAAGTGGCAGTGCCTATTACAGTGTCAGTAGCCAGTCTCCAAGCAATGTCAGATCTTACGAAAGTTTAGTTGCCCAGCGAAGGATCCTCACCGCCTCCAAAAATTTATCTGAGGGCTAAACTTCACAGAAACCCCCTTGCATACGATTTGGGGGGAGTCTCCAGCCAATCTCACGGCGGGGACTGTCCGCTGCAGCCCCAGATTCCTACCGGGAGTCGGCGGAGGGCAAAGTTTCGGAGAGCCCAGCGACCGAAGAGGCCAAACCGGCATCGGACCGGGGCACGCACAACCATTCCGAGGGGTCTCTGCCCGGCTTCCCCGGGCAGGCGCGGCCGCTGCCGCCGTTCCGTGCCGGAGGCAGGCACCGGCTCTCCCCGCCCGCGGCCGGGCTGCGCTCGCCTCCGGCGGCCCCTCTCAGCCCCGGGTCCAGCCCCTCCGGACCCTGCCCCCGCCATCCCGGCTACCGGGGGGATGTCTGCTCCGCCACCCCGCCGGGCAGCGTTACCTGGAGCTTCCGATGGCCGCTTCATGTCCGGGGAGCGCGATGCCGGCCCCGCCGCCGCCTGCAGCCCCTGCCCCGCATGCCGCGCTCCGCCGGGCTCCGGGGGAAGTTGCGGGACGCGGGAGCGCGGCTCCGGCTCCGCTGCGCTCCCCCGCGGACGCAGGCAGCGCTCGCCCGCTGCCCCCGGGAACGGAGCTGAGGCCCGGAGCTCGGCACCGGCGGAGCGGGGAAGGCGGGAGACTCCCAGCCACAGCGGCGACACAGCGGGTTTTTATCCCCTCCTGCCTACGCCCTCCCGCTCTCCCCAGCCGCGCAGCACCCGGCCCGACTCCGCGCCGCTCGCCCCGACGCCCTCCCGGAGCTTCGGCGGCAGCGGGACGGAGCCGTCGGGGCCCGGGGGAGGGAGGAGCGCCCGGTGCCCCCGCCCCGCCCGGGGCCGCCCCGCTCCGCCCCACTCCCGCTCCACCGCCCGGTGGGCGCTGCCCTGCGCTGAGCCCCGCACGGCCCGCCCGCGGCGGGGCAGAGAGCCGGGGAAGCCCCGGCCTCGGGGGCTCCTCGTTAGAAATGCACCGAAACTGAGCCCCGCACGGCCCGCCCGCAGCGGGGGCAGAGAGCCGGGGAAGCCCCGGCCTCGGGTGCTCCTCGTTAGAAATGCACCGAAACTCCCCCCGTGCGGAGATGGAACCGCGGGTGCTCCTAAGGCGCGGGTAAATGTAAAAGGCATTGTGCTAGCGCTTAGAAATCCTCCTCCCGTTCATTAAATGGTCCAACCCCACGGAAGGTCCGTGTTAAACTAGGCTTTGATCATAGCAGAGGAGTCTATCAAATGATAAAAGGCGTTATCTAAAATTAATTGCCATGTAGGAGGATTCTCTTGACCATGGAATCTGTGGGAGAACTGCTGCAAATCAAATTGAGAAGTGTGACCAGATCATGAAGAGGCAAAGCTGAAGCTGAAAGTCAAAGAACACGTTTACTTCTGTTTCATACCGACTTTAACCTCCCCCGGCCAAGTTTCTCACGACATCTCCATCATAATTTAGAGTACCCTACATTTAGAGACTGAAACTGAACATGGGCTACTTTAGCAAATAACAGACATTGTAAATTTATTGTCATTCAGACATACAGTTTATAGAACAGTTCTCAAATGGGCTTGCATATTAAAGCAGCTGCAAATCATACTTTTCTTTTAAGGGCACATAGCAAAGTGGTTTTTAATATGAGGGTTTGTGGCTATATATAAAGCTAAAAGGCTCCTTGTCCTAGAATTCATCCTGCAGACAAACTAAAATTCTTTACTATGATACAAGATATATGTTAAAGATCTGATTCAATATAGATCAAAGCCTGGTGAGATATAGGTGATACAGCTATTGATTTAAAAGACTTTTGGACCACTGCCTTATCATAAAAATTCAGCTTCTTATTAATAGGTTTTTTTTGTGCTGAATTTCTATGCAGTTAGGCTATACAGCACTGAAGTAATTTTAATCTTGAGGTTATTGATTAAACATTGGTTTGTTTCAGACTCTCCATTGGAATATTCATTTGTTTAAAGAAGTATGTTGTCTTCATTTATACTAAACCATTAAACTTTCCTGATGACCTTGATACCACAAAATACTGGGTGAAATTTAAGTTGGTCACATTACCAATACAGTCTGAGGAAGAGGGTACTCACTTTTGTAGTCTTCCTTCCCCTGTTTTCAAAACTGAAAATGTTGAGCCTGAATTCTTCCTAAAGACTTACAGAATGAAAATTCCTTATGTGTTACCATATGCAGCAGCTGTCCATTTGTGAGTTTTGTGCACCCTTTGGTTGAGGTAGACTGGTTTTAAAATACTAAGGACTTTCATTGCAGCTTGTTCATACCTCAGTAAGTGTGGAGGACTGGTAGGTGCAAAGTTACAGTACTGCTTGTAGCTAAGTTATTTAAATTCCAGCCATGAGACCTGGACATAGGAATAATTGCTCTGGGGAAGGCACGATCCAGATCAAAGTGAAGCCCAATACTTAAGGCAATTAGAATTTTGATTTTCAATTTTATTTTTCTCATTAATGCTGGGATATGCTTTTTATATTGGAGATCTCAGGGCCCAGATGCTCAAAAAATTCATGGGAGTTGTGATCATCCTTTCCTGAGTTGCTCAGCTTACAGAGAGAGGTCATCTGCCCATAAGCAGACGTAGCAGAGAAATCATGATCAAGGGATGCACTGAACAGTCTGAAAGGAGTTCAGAACCACAGGATTCTTGTAAGTCTGGAAAGAGCTGGTTGTAAGCCCAGCAATTCTTCGTTCCCACTGCATGCTGACAAATTTGAACACGGCATGATGCAATCTAATTTTTTGTGCTATTTCACAACATAAAGGTGCTTTTGTCACTAGTTACATACTAAATTAAAAGGAATATTGCTTTATAAAATATAATTTGGATGAGAACAACTGGTATTTGTCTTTCCTCTACCAAATAGCACTGATGTGAAAACAGTACCTCTCCAAAATCTTTGTTGATCAAACATGGGCACAAGCTGTGTGAAGCTGAGAGTACATTAATTAGGATGTGAAACTTCTCTTTTGATTATCTGTACAAATGTAAGGTTTCTGGCATCACCAATAGAGATTCTTATGGCAGAGAATTGCTGATAGCTGTCTTCCTCCTTCCATTCCTTTAGGAGTGTGCCTGTGTTTCCCTGTCCCTGCACTTCACTGTCTATTAGAGTGGGAAGCTTTTCAGTGCTTGTTTTCACATCCTGTGCAGTGCCAGACAGACTGATGGGGCTTGATAAGGTCTTTTAATAACAATATTTACCATGTGATCATGAAAATCCCCACAAATACAGAAATGCCTCTAGTATCTTCAATATTAAGTTTCTTTATTAAAACCACAAATTTATTACAGTTATATAAATTGATCATTAAAATACTTTTTCAAAAGCCATTTGGCTACAGGGAGTTTACAATACCTTCATGAACAAGCAGTGTAACTTCTGGGCTAGAGATTAACTAGGACGGGGGTACTGAAAGAAAGGAATATCCTCCTCCTTTACTCTTACACTCTCCTTCTGGAAAGAACATGATTTTTCTGCCATAGTGCTCAGACAGGAATAAGGATTTCCAGCCTCCAGTTTAAGTCCTTGGCTATATACATTATAGCCATTGGATATCACACAGTAATAAGGTAATAAGGGTCAGAGAGTCATATTCCTTTTTTTTTTTTTCTTGTGATTCCCCTCTCTCCATCCTGAATTAATTCTCTTTCAGTGAAAGTCCAGTCTGGGGGTTAGGGTACTTCAGTGAGCTGAAAGAAGTGGCCTGCAGTCCCTCTGCATGAACTCTGAGCCCCCAGAAGAAGACAGGGATGCAAGTTGCACAAGGACTTAAACACAGATTTGTGAGTACCTGAAGGGAGTCCCTTTCCTCCAGCTGGCACAAATATTTTCAGTAAAGTCCACACCAAACAGCTGGACAACAGCTAGTGGGCCAATCCCTTAGCAGCAAACACGTGGGCCATGGATCCTGTCTGGACTTCACTGTGAGACACAAGCACATATGCTTGGTCCTGTCAAGGCTCTAACACTTTTGGCATGCCCTGGAGCAGAACATGTCCTCAGCCCAGTCTGTGTGACTCTGGGAATGCTGCAATGCCTCATGCATGATGGAGAAAACAAAAAGCCAGTCTGGCAGGAATGGTTGTGGCAGACAGGTGTTTATCAGATGATAAGAGAAAACTGTCACTTGAAAGTTGCACTTGCTCTTAGGATAGTTTATTGAGTCTGGCTGAGATGGAGTTCATTTTCCCCACAGCAGCCCTCACAGTGCTGGTCTTTGCTTTGGTGGCCAGAAAGGGGTTGTTGATAGCACACCAGTGCTTTGGCTACAGCTGAGCAGCGCTGGCCCAGCATCAGCCCTGTCTCTCAGCATCTCCCCACTCCATGAGCAGGCTGGGGATGGGCAAGATCCTGGGACGGGACAGACTAGGCCAGCTGACTCAACTGAAGGGATATTCCATACCATATGGTGTCAGCTCAGGTGTAAAAGCTAATAAAAGGAGGAGGAAGGGGGGAATTTCATTATTTACAGTGTTTGCTTTCCTGAGCAATTGCTGCATGTGCTGCAACGCTGCTTCCTGGGCAGTGGCCTGACATTGCTTGCTGGTTGGAAGTAGAGAATAAAATTATTGTTTTTCTTCTCTTTGTTCATGTGCATGCGAACTTTCACTTTTGTTTTAGTAAATTGCCTTATATCAGTCTATGAGTTGTTTTCAATCTTATTTTCTTACGCTGTTCAGTTGGGAAGGGGGAGTGATCGAGCAGCATGGTGCGTACCTGGCATCCAGACAAGGTGAAGCCACCAAAAATGATGATGATAAAGCGGGCATTGTGGTGGGAGTCTGTCACAGATCATGACATCAGGATGGAGAGCTGAATGAACTATTCTCTAAGCAGCTGGCTGATACTTCGCAGTCATCAGCCCTTGTTCTTCTGGGAGACTTTAACCTGCCTGATGTCTGCAGGAAACTCAACACAGTGGAGAGGAGGCAGTCTAGGAAATTCCTGGAGTGTTTGGAAGGAAAGTTCCTGACTTGGGTCACTACAACCCCCTGTAATGCTACATCCTGGGACAGAGTGACTGGAAAGTGGCCCAGTGGAAAAGGACCTGGGGGGGGGATGTGAGGAGACTGTACTCAATCCATACCTGCACAAGTGATTCCTCGCTCTCCATACTTAGGCAGTCAGAACTGACTTTTGTTCCTGGCACTTAGACATATTTTGTTATTCCCTGTTTTCACTTTCACAGCTCTGAAGATCTAGGGGGGAAGTTTGAAGACATTACCTGTCCACCAGGGTCATCTTTTCTCATTCTATCCTCAGAATTGTGATCAGCTGGTAAGTATTGTTGAAGAGGGAGTAAGAATGGCTAATGTTAAGTTGAGCTTCTCATTAGGAGTGTGTATATTTCAGAATAAAATCTTTATACTACTTTTATTTGTTGATATAGTCCTGACTTCTGGCCCTTTCTGCATTCAAATGCCTCTTTAGTACTCAAAATATTGGTTCCTCAGTTTGGCAGATTTGCTGTTACTTGCGCTCCTCCCTGATGTCTTTGTTTTTTCAAGGATTTCATGAGACCAA